GATAGATAGATAGATAGATAGATAGATAGATAGATAGATAGATAGATCGCGGAGTTGTATTTTGCTGGAAAAACAAAGCAGGGTTAATATTGCTGGGAGATTTTCAAGGAATCTTAAGACGCTGAGTTAAACTGAGGAAAATCAGACTGGTAGAAAGTAAGGGGAAACCATTTCCATAATGTTATCAAGAAAATGGCCTGGGTATGTCAATGAATTCAATGGGATTCAAGCTTGGCTCAGAAGAGATGTGACTTTATTTACCCCAACCAACCTTTTCTCAAACTTAGCAACTTTAAGATTGTGTGGATTTCAGCTCCGAGAACTTTGAAAAATATCCATCTGGAAAGTACTGAAGCAACTATGCCTATTTTACACCATATTTTAACTTAGCAAATGAAGTTTGAGCAACACTATAGTTATCTAGTTATTTGCACATTTAATTTGATCTGGCTCTAGATGGGACAATGACTATAATAGTTTATACATTTATATATGCAAACACATATGAATGATGTATTTGCATGTACATAATAATATATTGGGGCACAGTGGCTCAGCAGTTAATGATGCTGAACTTGTTAGCTGGAAAGCTGACAACCAGGGTTGAAGACCCAAGCACCATGCAACTGGGGGAACTCCTGTTACTTGGCCCAGCTCCTACCCACCTAGCAGTTCGAAAGCATGCAAATGGGAGTAGATAAATAGATACCACTTTGATGCGAAGGTAACAGTGTTCCGTGTGCCTTGGTGTAAATTCATGCTGGCCACATGACCATGCAAAACAATGCCCTTGGCTAAGAAACAGAGTTGAACACGACTAGGTAGGGAAAAGCTTTACCTTTAATAATATATCATATTAATATTTGACAGCCAGGTTGGTGCAGTGGTTAAGGCATTAGGCTAAAAAATGGGAGACCATGAATTCTAATCCCTCCTTAGGCATAAAGCCAGCTGGTGTGTGTGTGTGTGTGTGTGTGTGTGTGTGTGTGAGAGAGAGAGAGAGAGAGAGAGAGAGAGATCCTTGCCCAGTTAAGGCTAATTGGACCTGGGAATTGTTCTGTTGCAGATTTATTAAGTATTTATGTTTCTCAGAGTATAAACACATTTGCATTGAGAAGTCACTGAGCACCTGGTGCTTAAAAATTAGCAAGTTAGCATAGCATAGGATAGCATAGCATTTTAGGTTTCTATATCGCCCCACAGTGCTTTGCAGCCCTCTCTGGGCACTTTATAACATCAGCATATTTTCCCCAACAATCTGGTTCCTCATTTTACCGAGCTTGAAAGGATGGAAGGCTAAGTCAACCTTGAAGCCCATCAGGATCAAACTCTAGGCTGTGGGCAGTTTGCCTGCAATACTGCACTTCAACCACTGCGTCGCCAGGGCTCTTCAAATTAACTAGCCTTAAAATCAAACCACATGATTTCCAATTACACATACAGCCCTTTCGTGAATAATCTTCCCTCTTCCCTCTGCTTGTTTTTCATACAGCGTTAAAAAAGAACTGGCAAAAAAACAATTTAGGCATATTTGAAACATAACTATCCTTCTGGATTTTGGCATTCAGAAGCAGTGACGTGTGACTTTACTTTTACTGACATTAAAATTCAGAGTAGGAAGGAAAAATTGCTCTTCGGTGACAAATAATTTCCTGCAATTTGTGTTGAATTTTCATATTCTGTAACACTGGGTTTTTTTTCCCATGAATGATGATGAGATGTACCTACTATTTGCAAGATTGGAGAGAGCTTCTCTGTGTGTCTGTTTCTCTCACACAGAGACACCAGATTGTTACTGACAACAATTCCAATCTTCATCACAAAAATGGGAATAAGTATAAAGGCTTTTCCCCCTATAATTACCGGTAGCTATTAGGTTTGATTGAAAAACTTGGTTTACGGGATTGAGAAATCCCAGCTATCAAGGGGAAAAAATCAGAACGTATTACCTTGAACTGAATTTCCTGATTCAGCATTCCAAATAGCCAATATAGTCAAACAGAGGAATCCTTTAAACAAATATTTTTAGCAGTGTCCGATAATTTTAAATATGGGTGCTTGAATGCAGTCTTATGGTAGCTCACATCCCCAACATTCAGTCCATCGACTGGTAGCAGACTTCACATGCAAGAAGCGCCATCTGCAGGATGCAGGCAGCATGAGAAACCACGCCCCCCCCATGAGAAAACTTCTCCCCACAGAGTCGGTCCCTGGTGCCAAAATTTTTTTTATCGGTAATAAAGCTTTGGCCTCTGAGTTAAAAGATATATCTGAGATACAGTCCAGAATGCTCTTTTAGGTATCACTAAAAATGTATACACGCCCTAGATCCGTGATGGCAAACTTATGGCACGCGTGCCCAAAGTGGCATGCAAAGCCATGCCCAGCACGTGCGGCCTTGCTTGTCTGTCTTGCGGGTTTCTGACATGCATGCGCATGCAACAGTCAGCTGTCAGCGCATGCAACAGTGCTGAAAACCGGTGTGCGCATGCGCGCAGGCCAGCTGATTGTCGGGCGTGCATGTGTGCCAGAACCCAGAAGTTCGGCTTTTCCGGACCGTGATCATTTTGCGCACGTGGCCGTGCCGAAAACCAGCCTGCGCATGTGCGCCAGCCAGCTGATCGTTGGGCGCACATGCGTGCTAGAAGCCAGAAGTTTGACTGTTCTGGAGAGTGGCCCCGACGAGTGCGTGCACGCTCAACATTTCCGCGAAGATTCACCATCACTGCCCTAGGTGATTGGTTCTAAAGCAGGGGTGTCCAACCTTGGCAACTTTAAGACTTGTGGACTTCAACAATCAGAATTCCTGAGCTAACTTGACTGGAGGAGGAATTCTGGGAGTTGAAGTCCACAAGTCTTAAAGTTGCCAAGGTTGGACACCCCTGTTCTAAAGAGCATCTCCTGTTGCCATTATCATACACTTAATTAATACTCACAGTAAAAAAAAAAATTGCGCTAGTTGTTAACGCTGTAGTAGAAGCTACTTTTCAAAGAGCAAATGTGCCGAGAGTAAAGATCTTTCGGATGTGCAGAGATAGCTGTGTTATTTATTAAACAACAACTGTGGAACAAAAATAGGAAATCTCTGCCTAGTGATTTCTGCTGTATCCAAAATGATGGGCTATGGAAATTTTCCAGGTTGTCTGAAATAACCATTTTGAGAAAAGGTAGCATAAATAATTAAAGGTTCTACTCATACTAAAGCAACAAGGTTTACACGAAAGGAGGCTGAGTCTACCTATAAGATGATCTGCCCAAATATAGGACTAAGAGAAAGAAAATAAAGTCAGGTGAAAAATCCTATTCAGTGCCCAGCTTTCCTTCCCAGAGATCGTTCAGATTAGATCCGCTGATAAATTCTATAAAATAAATATATCTAGAATGGCCAATTCCTGTTGAAACCAATCCTGGAATTTTTCCTCTTCCCCAATAAAGGGTTTCATTTATCTTAATTTATTAATTTAATCACTCCAGCTTTTGAAGACAGCCAAAATCCCACCATGTCACAGGAAGTGCAAGAATAGTAGCAATCTCAGATCAACACATTGCTTGAGTGTAAAAGCTGCTTTCGGAATAATTCCCTCTGCAAATTACATATATATGGAGACAGGAAGTCTACTGCTCCTGCATGTCATTTAAATTGAGCCTAAATGGCATGTTGTATGGAATACGTGGTATGGGCAAGTGTATTTATCCTTAACACAATCCTGATGCAGCCGTCAATGAAATCAAGTTGGACACCCTTGTACTAGAAGGTCGCCACCCAGAAGAACCATAGTGAAGACATTTAAATATTATTAGGTTGTTCTGTTTATTTCTGGGAAAGACCTTATGGGCAGAGTGGAATCTTTGAGCCATCAAGAACTACAACAGCCTTTCATTGTTGTCTCATCATCTCCACTAATAGTGCATCTTTTTTTTTTTACCATTATAGTGATATGTAGCTTTAGTTTTTCATTCTGCTGAGTCACTCTTTCATTCGAGTTTGATCAAAATGAGGAACCTGATGAAAATTGCAACAAACTACAACGTGACTATGATTGGT